ATAAAACAACTACATAGACTTGAGATAAATTTAAAAATGGAATAATAACGTAGTACAATAAATGTAGATCTCTTGTTTGCTAAGCATTATTACTACTACAAAATTACTATGTTCAAACATGTTATACTGTTATCAAATTGCTCTTGTACAAAGTAAGTCAATTATTTATTCTATTTCTATCGTCTTAATTTTTTTAATAATAAGAAAAAAAATACCAAACATTTTTTATTCACACAGCGTCCATATTTGAGGAAAAAAATAAATGGTCACAGTATACATACTCTGTGTGATATTTAAATAAAATTAAGTGAACAAGTTTTCTCAAAAATAATGTGGCTTAGCGCTGAACATGAATTAAATTTAAACTTATCATATACAAAACTATATTAAATTTAACCTGTTTGGTTAAATTTATATTCCATAAATGTACAATATATACATATTTATATTTTATTATAAACATCTCGGACATGAAGCAAAATGTTGAAACAAAAGGATGTTTGTACATGACCTATTGTATAAATTCATAATTTACGAAAAATTGTATTATAATACTTTCACGAGTGAATAATGAATCTTAAATTTTTTTTGCTGTTCAGAGCATTATAGTTTTAATCATCTAACGGTTGTTTGTATCATCTAAAACTAATCGAGATAAATATCGAATTATAAAAATATATATATATATTAGGTCTAGTAAAAAGTTCGTTCGGTTTTTATCTAAGAGATGGAGTTATTGTCCATAGTACTAGTGTTACGTGTCGCATCATGTCATACTATACGGCGCTGAAAACGTGTTTATTCGCGCTAAAAGTTTGTCTTTAACAGTTTTTCGATTGATTACTCAGTTCGTTGTGAGCGCTCGTCAAAGATGGACACCAACAAAGAATAAATTCGCTATATTTTACAATTTTTCTTCGATCAAAGCGAAAAGCAGCCAAAGCGGCTAAAAACTTTAATTTAGTTTATGGGCCCGATACTGTAAACGAACGTGTAACACAAAAGTGATTTGCTAAGTTCCGTTCCGGTAATTTCGATGTCAAATATGCACCACGCGTTGGGAGGCCTGTCGTCGAAAATTGCGATAAAATCATGGAAATAGTGAGCACTTATTTAATTGCTGAGGAACTAAAGATAAGCCAGAAAACCGTTTGGAACCATTTGCATAACCTTGGATTCAAAAAGGAGCTCGATGTTTGGGTGTCACACGAACTAACACAAAAAACATGATGGACCGAATTTCCATCTGCGAATCGCAACAAAATCGACCCGTTTCTGAAGCGGATTGTGATTGGCGATGAAAAATGGGTCACTTACGACAACATCGAGCGCAAACGGTCAAGCGGCCCAGATGGTGGCCAAGACCGGATTGACGGCCAGGAAGATTTTGCTGTGTGTTTGGTGGCATTGGCAAGAAATCATCTGCTACGAGCTGCTCCCCTATGGCTAAACGCTCAAGTCAGCCCTTTACTGCCAACAATTGGACCGCTTGAAGGCAGCACTCATCCAGAAGAGGCCATCTTTGATCAACAGAGGCCGAATTGTGTTTCATCAGGACAACGCCAGGCCACACACGTCTTTGGTAACTCGCCAGAAGCTCTTGGAGCTCGGATGGGAGGTTCTAATGCACCCACCTTATAGTCCGAGCCTGGCACCAAGTGATTACCATCTTTTCCTGTTCATGGCGGACGCACTTAATGGTAAGAAGTTGGCCTCAAGACAGGCCTGTGAAAATTGGCTCTCCGAGCTTTTTCCCACAAAACTCCATTAATCGAAAACTTTTAAAATGTCACTAAAATGTTAACTAAGACGCAAATTAAGATATAAACCAGTTGGTTGTTACAGAAGACTGAATTAGTAAGGGACATATGTAAACTGAAAATGTTTAAAAAAAGGGCGTGGCCACTTTATAGGTTTAATGTACATATCACCTAAACCACTTGAGCTACAATATCCAAATTCGATCAAGACAAATCCTACAAGGACCATTACTGACAGTGTAAAAATGGATGAAAGTGGATTATAACCCCGCCCTCTCACCATATAACGGGTACCAAATGTACCAAGGACATTAAATTTTACGCCCACGATGATACAAGAGGTCTATATGGGAGCCGAGATCAAAACTGGATGATGAGCGTGGCCCACATTTAGGTGAAATAACATATCTCCAGGCCTCTTCTACTAATTTCAACCGAATCCGGTATATAATATAATCCTGACGATCTTATGTGAGAATGGGTGCAATCGGACTATATCCACGCCTACTTACTATATAGCATAATTTTAAATTCCATACGTTTCTTTCACTTTCCAATACACAAATCAAACACCAATGAATATATTCGGAAAAAAACGTTGCACAAATAGCGCCTTTGAGGTATCTTTGCACGTTGCAGGAGTATAAAATGTTCGGATATAACCAAACTTAGCCCTTTCTCACTGTTTTTTTAAGTTAGCGAAGCCAGCCCCATAAATGGTTTAACGTCCATATCTGCCAAACCGCTAACCTAAATTAAATAAACTTGCTGAGATTAAGTCCTTTTAGAGCTAACACACTGAATAAATACCCCACAAGCTTAGAATTTAATCTCCAAGATGCTAGGGAAGGGTTTTAAGAATTGGACAATGCGCGTGGCCCGCCTTTAGGTAAAATCCTGTATCTCAATGCGTGAGGTGAGTCAAACATTTGCATTATACGCTGTGATCATTTGATTCGTTCATTTTACAGTATGCAAATCAACCATCAATGAAGTTATCAAAATAAAACTTTGCACAAATAGGACCTCTCAAAGTATTTTATTTTACACCCAAAAATTGTTAAAATGAGATTATTTTAAGGACCCAGAAACCAAATCTGTAAATCTGTGAAATCTAGTATTGAAATTCCGTGAGAATATTTTTGTGATTACAGCGTGCCCTTTGTCGGTGAAATCGGATCAATATTTCCCTTAACCTACATGTACGTAAGAGATGGATTTTCGAACTTCCCGTTGACTTTATACTGCTTCTTTAGAAATAGAGAGTTTTAACAACAGTGTATCCTCTTCCATAAATTGGGTATGAGTATCATCATGGGACAAATTAATACCATCAGAAGACGGTCTAAGTTTCATTGTTTTTCTTTGAGATTGACTGCTATATTCGGTAAAAGTCAGCCAAAGGCACTCAACCCGACGTATTCGGTTTTTGGGCTCTTGATTATTTATGGTCCGATCTCGAGATGTGAGATGTCATGTCATGTGTAAAGTTTTCTTCCGATAACTTCATTGGTAGTTTGTATATTGTAAAATTAAGGAAATTAATAGAATTTAAAATTGTTTATGTGGAAAATGAGCGTTGTTGAATTTCGATTACCCCCATTTTCACACTGTAAGATAAAAATTTCAACATAATGTTGTGTACGGAATCGGATCATTATGCGATATGGGACGCTACACCCATTGTCTAATTTTTTAATCGGTGCATATCAAGCCCTTTCTTGTCATCTTATTTGTGAAATTTAATGCTTGCAACGTAAGATTAACGTTTATGTTATATTATTATATCTATATTTTAATAACATAATATATTAAATGAAGAATGGACTTGATTATAATCCGGTTTCGGTTATTTATGCACTGGGAAGTGCAAATAAGTTTTGCTCTGTGCAAATTTAGTTGTAATAGCGGCCAAATTACGCCGACTTGAAATATCAACCTTCCTTGGTTGCGAAGACAAAGTTTCACCACATTCACTCGGAACTCAAGACGAGTTAAATCATCCTGATCATTTATATATACAAGGGTCCCCATGTTCGACCAATAAAAAATACCGTTTTAAACAATGTTAATAGTATTTAAATTTTATTGAAGAATTTGAACAAAATGTGAACAAAATCTAAAGAAAGTTGTAGAAAGCACTTTACAAAAATAAATTTAAAAAAAATAAAATTGAACAAATGATGATTATTCAATGAATCGCATTCTCTTTTCAGTTGATTGCCTTCATTCTTCAATGAAGCCACAGTTTCGACAACACGACTTTGCACAAGATCTTGCACCCGTCGTAAATTGTCAAACAAATTCCTATCCTCTGCCATCATGAAATCAAATCGCTTGTGAAATTAGGAAATGAACTAATGAAAAAATGTAAATATTGAAAAACATATAAACTGAACTAAATCTATTGTAAAATGATAATAATGTATTATAATAGTTCTATATTTTATATTACAAAGTTCTCAAAACTTTAGTGTTAATAATATTTTTCGTTATCCAAATGACCTGAAAATTTTCGAAAACAATCACTCAATACACTTGAAGTTAGTCTTAAAACTTCTAACTTACCAAAATAAAACGAATGATATCAAGGGTTATTTCACTTCAGTGTTTTTTTAATAAGCAATCTTGAAATTAAATGAGCGTTACAAATGCAATTGTAATAGCAATGATGCGACACGCAAAGTCCAAACACAATTAGAAGTCGAAAAAATCGCAACCAAAAATCCGCCGTAAACGATATATGGATTTGCAACTTTTACAGATCAGTGACGAAATGTACTCCTACATACGACTGTGTTAAATGTGACATGCAATAGAGAAATAACATCGACCAATGAAAACGCGCCACCACGCTTGTATTTGAAATTTTGAGAAACTGTTTTGCAGATTGGAAAACTTTGTAATCCATTCACTGTACAAAGTTTTAATACCAATAATTGCTTTAAACACTTATAGTTGAGTATCTTTACACCTAATTGGGTAACTCATATAATTTATAGCCTAGAAAAAGTAAGTTAAAGAATTTAAAACCGTAAATATTGGTTGGCAATTATATAGGTAAACAGAGGACAAGGATTCTATTATTTTACCTATACATAAGAATATGGTCCACAATAGCTCTAATATACGAACTGTTCAATTATATCCAAACTTTCTTAAATTGTAAAGAACGAATTTTAACTTATGTTGATTACAAAGACTATTTAATCATTTAAATTATTGTTAAATCTTTTATAGCCCGTGCACTATGCAATCACCCGTAGAAAACGATGAAGCATCAAAAGATCCGAAAACGACTGAAAACGATTTCTCACAACATTTTACTGAACATGATTTTGAAGGTAAATATAAGTAGTAGTAATAATTTTCGCATATATACAGACAGACGACATGGGTAAATTGACTCAGTTCTTCACAATGGTGATTTATATATTGTACTATATACTTTATACAAACTAACAGAATACATCAATTTCTATATTCATTATTTAGACTACCCACTAAAAAACTACGAATGGATATATTTAGGCTATTTTCTTGGGACATTTTGCGCTAAAACTGATTTATATAATACTGACTGTATATAAAATAAACAGAAGAAACGTAATTAAATTTTGGTTGAGTCAGCAGTTCAATTTCAATCACTGATTTCATTCATAATCAGGCCTTAACTATATATAAAATAAATCAACTGATAAATAGGGTATATAGTCCATTGTAAGGTTGAAAACCACTATATTAGGTATACAAGGCTACGAAAATATTACATTAGAAATAGTATCAAGTCAACCTGTACTTATAAACTCACCATATAAGTATTAAGTATGTACACATTTACCGAGCTTTTCGGTAAAAAGTCAGCCAAAGTCAATATACAAGTATATAATATTATATATCGACTAATTTAATTGTTACAAAAGACCGTTAAGCAATTCAAATTTTGCACATGTTACACAAATAAGTTTGGATATAACATCACTCAAATGGCGTCCACGACTTCTTTTGCAGTAACGAATTCGATGAATACTTTTTCCACTTAATCAAGGCGTATGACATGAATAGCACGTTCAATATTGACTTCCAAAGCTTGAAGAGAGTCTGGTTTATTGCTAAGACTAATTACTTCAAATAACCCCCTAAGAAGTAGTCTAATGGTGTTAAATCTTATCTTCTTAAAGGAATCTTATCTTCTTTTGCTAATTGTGGCCAAAAAATTTGATTATCATCGATCCATACCGCTCTCCACTGACAGTAACGGTGTCACCGGCTTCATTTCGAAAGAAGTACGTACCGATGATTTCACCAAACTGAAAGTTTAGGCGAATGTAACGTACCTTTACATAACCTCGACTCCACTGCGTCCACTGTAGCCTCTTCTTCGCTCATTTCAATTATATTCAAACCACAAAATTATCACCCAATACTGTTACACTCCGGAATATTTCGTATAAAATATCAACTTAAGGCTTAAAATTAACAAACTGATTCTAACACGGAATGTATAACAAAAATAACACAATTAAAGTACTTGCATTGAAAATCATCTAAATTCTTCACTCTCTAAGCCATCAAGATGCGTAGCACTCTCTTTATTTCCCCTTACCATTTAACGCAACCTTTCTCGAACTCCCATTAAAAGTTTAACTTCAAAAATAAGTACTAGATCCACTTCAAGAAAAACTCATATCAGTGTAACGAACAGAATGAAGCGTTTCAAATTTATCTAAATATACAAAAATAAATATTTTCGATTCTAGAGACGTTATTCACAGATAAATGGAAATTTAATGTTAGATACAGTGTTGGAAAGGCAAGAAAATATGGCGCGAGAAAAATAAACATATTCATGACAGGAAAACCTTTTGCCCATTTTTAAACACGGTAGAGGTTGCGTCATGTTGTGGGCAGGAACTGGAGTGGGAAAACTTGTCCTCATCACCGGAAATATGAATGCTATTAAATACATTGATATTTTAAGAGCAAATTCGAATCAAAGTGCATAGTGCATGTCTTTGGATCTGGTACAATTGTCCATTTTAAAAAAATAATATCCCACTACATTTAATTTTAAATTTATGCCATTGCCATATGTTTCAATTAGGGCTGTATGAATATGAATTTTGCGTTTGTTAATTAATTATTTTAGGTTTTTCTTAAAACATTGTTTACTTTTATATAAAAATCAATAAATTTGGTATACTGGACTAAGTTCTTTAGTTGAATAAGTCCGCCAACTTCTTCCAAAACCACACAAATTGTATTTATAAAATTATATCGGTACGACGCAAATCGGGTAAATACTATCCCTATCTCCCATATACCTAATATATAATACAATTTTCTTACTTCCGGTTTGCTTTATACCGTTTATTTCAGTAAATTTGTAAGATATCTTAGCAAAATTAACTGAGCGTATAATATTTGATATACTACAGTTGAGATCTACGAATTACCCGGATTGCCATGTACTATATACATATGTATATTATATTAATTTTCGTTATTCTAACACCCCATATGCCGAATATATCGGACAGTGTGCGAGTGGCACATTTAGTATATATTGTTTAAAAACATATTTTCGAGTATATCTGAGCAATGTCAAAAGTTAGTTCAAAATTTCCCCTATATAGTGATTTGTGAATTTCCACCTGACCTAAAACCGTTTATGTTGTTCAAAATGTGTCATATTTTAATGAAATTAAGGGGATACGCTCTATTCAAAGTTATTTGGTAAAGGGCTAAATACGAATGGAATTGGTCACGATATTGGTTCAAACGTCAATTGCCTAAAATAATTAATTCCGATCTTTGAGTTAATGTTTTTCACATATGTCTCATTTAAAAGTAATTTTAATACAATTTTCGCTGATGCGAGGTAAAATATATACATTAATAAAACTAAGTAAGTTAATGATCGATAATATAGATTAATAAAACACCAAATTTAATTTCTCGTTCTCTTTCATGATTTCGTCTAACAATTAATACTGAATTCTTTCGCTACATTTTTATGATCTCGCAGCATGTTGCAATAGAGAGTAGAATAGTTTTGTTCACCTAACGGTTGTTTGTATCACCTAAAATTAATCGAGATAGATATGGAGTTATACATATATAAATTATCTGGATGAAGCTACGAGTAGAAATCCGGGTGCCTGTCCCTCACGCCGTCTGGCTGTGTAAGGGATAACTTGAATAAAAATTGACATATCGAGTTGAAACTTGGTACATATGCTTCTTGGCTCCCAGTTGAATTCATATTACAGATGGGGAACTCGGATCACAGCCTCGCCACAAAACGCCATGAATCGAAAACCGATAAAGTGCCATAACTGGGTACCAAATAAAAATGTAAAACTATATTTGGGCACAAGATATCGCAGTAGCACAGCGCACCTGTGGTTTGAAAACGTTGGAAAAAAGGGCGTGGCCCTCCCTATAGAGGTTTAGTGCACATATCTCCTAAACTATCCAAGTTATTATAACCAAATTCGGCATACCTACCCACCATGTGAAAAAAATTCTGATTATTACCCCGTCCACTTCGCATATAACAGTTTTGTTAAAAACTAATAGAAAATTTTAAAAATAAATACGCCAGAGTCATAAAATATTACCTCCGATATGGTACGAAAGGGCCTTACGGCTTCCATAAATTGGTGTAAAATTTTGGCGATGGGCGTGGCACTATCCATATTTATGTGGAAACATATATGTCGGGACCTGCTTGACGGATTTCAACGAGACGAGAATTCCGATTGGCTGTCTGTCCGTCCGTTCGTGAAAGCGATAACTAGAGTAAAATACCTTGATGACGAGCTCTTTGGCACTCCGGGGGGCTTGGTATTGCATATGGGTGGAATCAGTCTGTTGCCACGCCTAGAAAAACCGTTAAGCAAAAACATATAAAGTACCATAACTAAACATTAATTAAGAGGCAAAACTGTAATTTGATACTGGGGACCGCAAAATCGAGTGAGACTTGTGGTCAAAATGGGGGGGGGGGGATGGCTTAGCCCCGTGAATGGTTTAATGTACATATCTTCTAAACCATTCAACCAAACTTGCTGAAAATAATTATTTTCTGCACTTCTTCAAACACTGTGAAAATTAGTAAAATCTGATAACTACGCCCACTTCACGTATAACGGTTATGTTGAAAACTACGAAAATTGTGACCACTCACTGAAGAAAAGCGCCAAAAGCATTAAATCTTTATAAAAATTGAACCATGGACGTAGCACCTCCCACCTTTAGGTGTAATCCTATATCTTAGGAACTACTGGACCACTTTCCTCCAAATTTACACCGCTATCTATCGGCCAATATGTAAAAAATCTTAGTTTTTGTTAACAGCATATGTCTTGTCTAAAATGGATGAAATCAGTGCAATAATTCAACTAGTCTCCATATACATATTAATGTAATTCTGATATCCTCTATTTCTGTTGAAATGTTGTAATACTAAAACGGGTTAAAATCGGGTTATATGAGAAAATGTATATGAATTATATAAGAATTTCAAACTTTCAGTTGGCTTGATACCGTACATATCGGTCAACATGTAACATATATTATGTATAGTATTGGATCTACAGGTTGGTTGAAAAATGAGTGCTCACCAAGAAATAGCACTACTAGCTCAACATTTTTTTCTCAACTTCGTAGATCTGTCGTGAGAACACATATCATTCCATCAATTAATTCTTTGTTTACAAGCCATTTGAGTCGACGTGTCAGAGTAATTTTTTAATACGAAAAAATTTAATATCGCGCAGTTATTAGATTCTTTGTTTTAAAAGGCTAAAAAGCAAAGAAAATTTATGAACAATTGTTAGAAGTCCATAATGAGTCCTCACCTTCAAAACGCACCGTTGAATTTTTGGCTGGATCCACGCGAAGGACAAACAAAACCCGCAACCACACCAGAAAACATTGAGCAAGTTCATAATATTGTTAGTGAAGATCCAAGTGTAACAAAGCCTGAAATTTCTAATGCCATAGGTATCTCAGATGAATGAGTACTTCATATTTTACATGGAGAATTACATATGAAAAAACTCTTTGGAAAGTTAGTGCCGCCTACGTTAACAATTCGACAAAAACTGGATCGAAAACAAATTTCTCAGCATAATTTGGAAAATTTTAAGCAGAATAAAACCGATTTTTTGCCTCGTTTTAGGGTTATATTGAATAAAAAATTTAGATTCCGTACCAAAAGTAATGTGTGATATCGGTCCACGAATATCCTCAGCACCCATATATTATATGTAATGACTATCATAAATCCAGGATAAAATTGAGATGTCCCATCCTTTAGTTGATATATTCTTCAGAA